TCACATCGTTTGCAGGGGCATGGATGAAGCTGGAAAACATTGTTCTCAGCAAACTGACACAAGAACAGAAAGCCAAGCACCACATGTTCTTACTCATAGGTGGGTGTTGAACAATGAGAACAGGTGGACACAGGGAGGGGAACATCACAGACCTGGGCCTGTTGGGGGGTGTGAGAGCTACGGGAGGGATAGCAGGAGGTGGAGGGATTGGGGAGAGATGCCATTAGGAGAAATATGTAATGTAGATGACGGGGGAATGGATGCAGCAAACCAGCATGGCATGTGTATACCTATGTAACAATCCTGCACGAGCTGCACATGTACCCCAGAGCTTAAAGTATAATTTTTAAAAATAAATAAAGGACAAATACTGTATGATCCCACTTACGTAGGTTACCTAGAGAAGTCAAATTCATGGAGACAGAAAGTAGAATGGTGGTTATCAAGAGCTGGGAAAAGTAGAACAGGGAATTGGTTTTCTTTTTTTTTTTTTAAATTGAGACGGGGTTTGCCATGTTTGCCAGACTGGTCTCAAACTCGTGACCTCAGGTGATCCACCTGCCTCGGCCTTCCAAAGTGCTGGAATTACAAGGACGAGCCACTGTGCCCAGCTGGGGAGTTGCTCTTTGATGGGTACAGAGTTTCTGTTGGGGAGGATGACCAAGTTCTGGAGCTGGATAGTGGTGATGGTTGCACAGCAGTGTGAATGGACTTAATGCCACTGACCTGTATACTTAAAAATTGTTGAAATGGGTCAGGAGTGGTGGCTCACGCCTGTAATCCCAGAACTTTGGGAGGCCGAGGTGGGTGGATCACTTGAGGTCAGGAGTTTGAGGCTAGACTGGCCAACATGGTGAAACCCTGTCTCTACTAAAAATACAAAAATTAGCCGGGCGTGATAGCACGTGCCTGTAATCCCAGCCCCTCAGAAGGCTGAGGCCGGAGAATCGCTTGAACCCAGGAGGTGGAGGTTGCAGTGAGCCGAGATCACACCACTGCACTCCAGCCAGGGTGACAAAGTGAAGCTCTGTCTCAAAAAAATAAAAATTATTAAAATGGCAAATTTTATGTTATGCATATTTTAACCACAATAAGAAATGTTAAATAAAAATAACAGGCAAATAATTGCAAAATAATAGTGTAATAAATAATAATATTTGAACAATTGTAAAACAATGGTAATAACAACACACTTCTGGGTGTTCAGGTGGTGCTAAAGGATCCCTTTCCATTAAAAATATATGCATACATATGTGTATATACATACATATATATATATGTGTATATATATATATATATATGTACTGGACAATATATTGCCAAAAAAGATAAATATATAACCAAGCTTAAAATAAAAAATGTATAATACACAGTGCCAGGAACAAAGAAAGGAACCTAGAGACAAAAGCAGAAGCTGAGATAGAGGAGATCTGAGAATCTCGTGCGTCGGATGAATAAAGGGAGAAGCTCCAGGGTCAGGCACATTGTGAACTCCACCAACCTGACCTCAGCCTGCGGACAGCAAGGAGCCTATGTGGCACCCACTTCATAGCAGAGATCCTTGATGGGCTATTCCATCCTTACAGGAACTTAAAAAAAGAACCTTCTTTGCGGAAGCAGCAAAGAAACCATTCACAGGCAGTGAGAGAGAAAATTCACACATGAGTAATTAAAACCCTAAGCCTGTGCCACTTCTGCGTGTAGGGTCTAAATTTACACCACCCATGGAGAATGGAAACTCTAAACTATAAATTTAGCCTATAAAATATTCAAGATCAGTGAAACACTCAGGCCCGGCAAAAAAGAACACAAGGCTGGTCTCTATGAGGATATTTTCCCAACCTAGGGCATACAAGACTCCCCCAAAAAAGGAGAGAGGTATGTGTGACCAAGATGAGTTCACAATAACAAATGAGAAACAAAACCCATGAAGTACAGTTGTGCACGCACGCACGCACACACACACACACACACACACAGAGCAGAATTAGCACCCCTGAGAACTGGAGGAATGCGAGCAGCCTGAAAGCGCCAATGAAACATATGACGTAAATGGTTAGGGAGAGAAAAGGTGAAACACAAAACAGAATTGAGGCTTAAAAGGAAAAAGGTCAGCTCCATTTGGAATTTGTGGAACATAAGGAGTCTTTAGGACATCCAGGTAAGGGTTAACAGGAGGCTACCAAAAATATGAGTATGGAGCCCAGAAGAAAGATCTTGGCTGGAGACAGACCAGGGAGTGGTCACTGGTGGGTGGAGCATGCATGGGGAGTGTGACTGGCCACGGTGCCAAGCATGACAGGAGGCCCCTGGAATAAGCCCTGTGTCTAAGGGCAGGAAACTTGAAGAAGACAGAAGGATACGCTCTGTCTATGCCATGAATTTTGATTGCATCCCTTTCCAGGAAGAGTTCACGGATCTTCCTTTCCCCAAGAGCCTCTCAGAGCCTTCACCCAAACTGTCTTACTGCATAGTAACCCCTGGCTCTGATCTGTCGCTTCCACTCTGCTGCAAGCTTCTAAAGAGTGACAAGGCCATCCTGCTTGTCTTTGTTTCCCCCACACTGAGCACAGGGTCGAGCCCCTATAATGGCTCCATGAATGATTACTGAGCTGAATGTGTGTGTTCTGTCCTGTTATGAGAATTCACATCATGAATCCGCACGAGAATGGGACTCAGAAGGAGCTGGAAATCCCACTGGTTTCGCCTTCCTCTTGCCCTCTTTCCTCTCTTCTTCCTGCTCTCCGTTCTGTACTGGGAGGAAACAGCACCAACCCTCGGACTCAGGAAAGCACTGCCATTAATTCAATCGCGCATAAGCACCAGGAAATATTTGTGCCAGACCGGTCATGCTTCTCCCCATTCCATCATTATAAGAATGACCTGCTATGGAGTGCATTTGTAAATATCATCTCATTTAATCCTCCCAGCTTTTTCACTAGTCCCCCAATCTGCAGATAAAGAAACGGAAGCCCAGAGAGGTGATGGGACTTTTCCTGACCACAGAGCTACGGAGTGGCATGGCTGAAGTTCCAACTCAGGACTCTCTGAGTCCAATACTGTAGCTTCTGCCTCTCTCTTGGACCTTCCCCTGTGCTTCCTTGTCCCCTGCCCTCCCGTGCCCTCCCCGCTTACTCTGCCTCTGGCTCACAGGACTGACTGCCCTTAGCTCACACTGGGTCTGAGTCATACATTCTTTAGCAGACAAGTGGGGGTGGGGAATGGGAAGGGGATGGCCAAACGGTGGTACCAATCCAGATTTGTCTTTTCCAGGCTACAAGCACTGTCGTGGGGCAGGACCTAAGATCCAAGACCCCTTCTAGGTCCCCTCTGGGGTTCTCATGAAGGAAAGAGCAGCAAAGGATGCACTGGCAGATACATGGCTATGAACACTGGGAAGCTGTCTCTGGACTGGTCTTGGGGGACAGATTCAGAGCCCCCCCATATACTTTTTATGGATGGGACAGCGGTACAGGGTGCCTTTCCTTTAAGACTCATGATTCCTCGAGCCTGACTTTGTTAGGGCACAGAACTGTGCCAAGCCTTAGTCCAGTATGAGAGGTGTACCCCTAGACTGAAAATCAGAAGACCAGGGATCTGAGCCTGATGTTGCCACCAGCTTGGAGGACCTTGGGCAAGACATGGCTTCTCTGAGCCTGAGTTCTTTGTTGGTTAGATGGAATGACCACATCAGGCCTGTGTATTTCTCAGGATGGGTGCTCTGGCATGAGGGGAGCTCCGAACCAAGGAGGCAGGGATGGGCATGAGAAAAGAAACAGGAATAGGGCAAGGTGGTCACCACCAAGACAGTTGCCAAGATGGCTGTTCTCATGGGCTGGGCCAGGACTATCTCACCAATACCTCCTGAGAGCATGGCCTTGCCCACTTGGCAACTCTGGCCCAGAGCATGACTACAAATGATGGGAGCAAGAGAGGAAGGAGAGATGAGGAAGAAATAAAGCAGGAGGTGTGGTATGTGGGGTGTGCAGGGAGGGATGGAAGAAACCAACCTGAGGGAAACAGATACAGAGGTTAGCACCCTGCATCCTGGATGGGGTTCTAGCCCTGGCTCTTCTTCTCACTCCATTGCAACATTAATCAAACACAGTCCTCAGCTGAGGATCTCGGAGGCTCAGTTTCCCCGTATGTTAGCTCAGATTTTATGACCTCTTCAGCCACATTGTCCATTTGCCTTTTAAAGCCCTGTCCTGTTGATTCATTGTCAGGAGCCCTTCCAGGATCCCCTCTCCTGCCTCCTGAAAGTTATGCCTCTCCGCTCTGAGCTAACAGCCCTCAGCTTAAGCCTGATCCCATATGTCTTGACTTAGACTGTGTCACACATCACAAGACAGAGGCCTCAGATGAATCACCTTTGGTCACTCCTGCCAAGAACTTATACACAGTAGGTGCTCAACAAACCTGTTAGTGATGAACAATAGCCAAACAGTTGGAAAGATGGATGCAGAAGAGAATCAGCCTGCTTTGTAGGCTGATCAAACTCCTGGTCAAAACTCTTCTCCATAGAAAGCCTCCTGGATTAATCCCCAGCCATATACTCCTTATTCAACAACTCAGCCAAAGGAAATTCTGATTCTCACTGCTGTCCTCTCTTCCCTTAGACCTCAGCTCCTGTCCCTGCTCAAAGTCTCCTTCAGCTGCCACTCTCCTTATTCAGCAGATTCCAATACCAAAGACCTAGCAGTCCAAGCAGCTTGGACCCAGGCACCTGTCATGAATGACCCATGCCACTGGGGTGGTCATTCTATGGACAAAGGAAGCTCTGTTGAAGTACCCTGGAGTTGTTCTGCCATAGAAAACCCCACAGAAGTCCCCATCAGAGTTCCTGTAGGTGGCGGAATTCAGGGATGCTATGAGGAAGATACCCAGGCAGATGGACTCTTCACAGAAGACCCAAGTCCCAGCCTCAACCACCAGCCCTACAGCCCACCCTACAATACACCTATGTGCACGCCCTGGTCATGAGAGAAGCAGAATCTCACCTTGATGCTCCTCCAGTTTCCCCATGGTCTCCATCTGTTCCACGAGGTCATTGGAGTTCCACTGGCTCATCCCAATGAGGATGGCATTCTTCCCTTCAGCCATCTCCTCTGTGGGAAGAAGCAGAGGTAAGCATGAGCAGGTGTGGCTAGGGATAGGCATCCCTATCAGGAACTTCTGTCTGAGGGACATTTTCTACTGTCCTGTTTCTTCCTTGAGTGAGGTAGACCTCAATTCTTGAAGGTGTCTGTAGCTAGATGGTTACAAGACTGTCAGAGATTTGTCATTGCAAGAAGGGGCCCTCCCGGGCCTCCACATGCTACAGCAAAAGAAAGTAACAAAAAGGCTGAAACTCCATAGCAAGTACCATTCCTAGCACTGAGAGTAGTACCTCTTGAAAGTCAATATGTGTGGGAAAAAAGGGCAAAACCTTGTCATTTGCAAGCAGCTGTTCTTTAAGTTAATGACTCCTCTGACCCTCAATTTTCCCATCAGTAAAATGGATCTAGCCACAGAGTTGTTGTGAGGATTAAATGAGATGATGGATGTAAAGGTCTTGGTACAGAGGAGGTGCTCATAGATGACAGCCATCATGGTGATTTCTTCACATGATAAGTAACTTGCCATCAGGAGTTGAGTGGATGAGGATTTGTGTGCTGCAGAAACAGCTCTGGAATAACTGGAGGAGAAGCAACCTTCTGGATCTAAGCAAGCTTTGAGCTGTATGGAAGCCTTAGCCCCCATTTGAACCTTATGACCCTCTTAATGCCTCCATTCTCTCCCACTCCTCCCCCTAACCCTGTCTCTATCCTTGTTCATTCCTTGTCTGAGCACAGTGATTCCTCTGGGAGAAATCAGTGGAGCTATTATTCCACAACCACACCGAACACAAGCCCTGGGTACCATACATCTGATACACACATCTGGTACCATCCCTCATCCTACAAAAGGACATTTCTTCAGACAAACCCATAGGTATGCGTGCTCTCCTCCCCACGGTTTGCCCGAAAACAGATGTGTCTTTCTGGTGAAGAACTTTGTGCTCTCCCTCACAGAACAGACATCAAAGGATGTTAAGGACAATCTCTAAGCTTATGAGAATAAGAATAAAGGGCTGAGATCCATTTTACTGCCAAAGAACTTTACCTAGCAGAAGGAATCAATATGGCGGATCTGAAGCTTTGGGAGCTGTCCAGAGTTCTGATTCACTGTGCTCAATGGAGCAGACCCCAGTTCTGGCTAGGACAGCTCCTCCTGGCTCATTTTATTTATCTATTTGATTTAATTAACAACATTTATCTAATGCATGATACACACTGAGATTATTATAAGTGCTTTACAAATATTAACTCGATTCTTATAACAATACAAAAAAGGTACAATTATTATTCTCTCCATTTTATAGGCAAGGAAACAGGCACAGAGTAGCTGAGTAATTCTTGCCCAAGGTCACTGGCTAGAGCCAGGATCCAAAACCAGATATACTATTTCAAGAGTCCTGAAATCCTGCCACCCTGATAGCCTGCCCTGGACATCCTGTATTGGCTGCCCACACTCCATCCAGGCACCACACATATTCAGACAATTTCCTGAGCCTGGCGTGTTCCATCTGGGAACTGGTTTATACCTGTAGGCAGCATGGCATACCGGGCAGAGCCCTGACCAGGTTCTAGTGCAGATTCTCTGCTGCATGCGAGATTTGTGCTTCTGCACACCCTCCACCACTGTGTCTGCTTTATTATCTTTTAAACAACAATAACTATAGCTCTTTATAGCAACCTGCTGTGGGGACAAATAATACAGTGCATCTGAAAACACTACAGAAGTTGAGGTGCTATAAACAAATATAAGGTGGTATTATCCTTGGGGCAGCCGAATTATAGAGGTTAAGAGCTCAGTTCTGGGGTTTGATGGATGGCTTTCAATCTTGGACCCGCCATCTGCAAGCAATACAATTGCAGTTTCCTCATCTAAAAAATGATATCATCGTAGTGTCTGTGTGATTGGATTGCTGTGAGGATTAAATGAGAGGATGCAGGTAAGGTGTTTATAAGAGTTCCCCTCACACAGTAAAAGCACAGACTGAGATGCTATCACATCACGGTATCACCATCACCACCATCAGCAGCAGGAGCATTGGTGCTATGCCCTACACTCACTCTTGGTTTCAATCCTGCTGTTGTCTGCCCTTATGACATTCTAGCCCAGCTCCAGAGTAAGGTCATCAGGATCAGCCTGATTACCACCTTGAGTTCTTTGTCTCCTGGTTCACTTACTCAAGCACAGAGTTATCCATTTGTTCATTCTAGCATTCAATCTACAGTGAATAGATTTCTGAACACCTACTGTGTGCAGGGCGAGACACAACCTCCCTTCTGCTGGAATCCAGTTTTCTGAAAAACATGAGAAATGCCTCTGACATATGCTGAGAGAGCCAGGTATGCAGCAGGTGCTCAGCGCATCCTAGCTCCCATTTTTTCTACAGCACCATAAGTCCTGTCTCAGTGGGGTCTCCCAGGGCTCTGGAGGCCTGAGCATGCCTATTCCTGCACAGCCCAGGACTCTTTCATCTCTTTTCCTAATCACCAGTATAACCCTGCTCCATCTTTGGCTCTTGGTCTTTTGTCTGTTTCTGATCAAATATATCTTTCTCTCCCAGAGTCTCACCGTGCTTCTCTCATGCTTTATATCTGGCCCTGTCCCACTCAGATTAGAGCTCTCTGGATCCCCTTCTATGGGTCTGTGTCTCTCTTGGTCCTTGTATTTCTCTTGGCCTCTCCCAGGCTCTCCGGTGCTGCCTGCCATATCCATCCCCCTTTCTGGGTGGAACACATATGCACTGCCTTGCTCTCTTCTCACCCCAGGGTCTTTCTCTCTATCCCTTCTCCGGGTCTCACTTTATCTAACTGGGTATGTCTCTTTCTTGGTCTCTCTCATTCTCTACGAATTTCTCTTTTGTCTCCCTGCATCCTGTCCTCAGGATCTCTCCAGCCCTCTGCTACCTAAGGGTGTTCTCCCTCCCCTCCCCATTCTCCCTTGCAATGTGTGTGTGCGTGTATCCACATGCATGTGTGAGTGTGTGCATACATGCTTGTGTGTGCCTGTGTGTAGATGCATGTGTGTGTGCATGGGTGTACATGTACGTGTGAGTGTGTGCATGTGTGTACCTGCATGTGTGTGCATTGTGTGCATATGTGGCATGTGTGCATGTATGCATGTGTGCACATGCATGTGTACATGTGTGCATGCATATGCATGAGCATGTGCATGTGTGTACATGCATGTGTGAGCGTGCATACGTGCAAGTGTGTGCATGCATGTGTGGATGTGTGCATGCATGTGTGTGTGCATATGTACAGGCATGTGTGGGCATGTGTTTGTACATGCACACATGTGTGCATGTGTGTGTGTATGTGCATGTATGTCCGTGCTTGTGTGCATACGTGCATGTGTGTGGCCCTCTCTCCCTCCTGCTCCCTTTCACTCTGCTTTCTTGTACTTTCTCTGGCGTTCTCACACTCCCTTGCCCCTCCGCCCATCCCTGTCTCTCCGCTGCTCTGTGCACCACCCCCCAAATCCCCAACATGCTTTCTCTCCCACACTCAGCCTTTACATCTTCACTCTGGCAACAATGGGCCTGTCCCCTGAGAAACAACAAGAACACACACACGCACACACACACACACACGGAAGCAGCAGCAGCAATATCTCCTTTTGGAGCCATTCAGGCAAAGAGGGGAGCTGGAGGCTTGGCTTGAAGTCTCTGCCCTGCTTCCCACATTGTAGGACATGCCTCCAACAGGAACTGTGGAGGCCACATCACACTCATTTGTAAAAATGTCCTGGTTATTGATTTTGCTTTTCACCTTCTGGTGACTGTCTCCTGCATGCTAATTCTCATCCTGGTGACCTCTGCTGTGGACATAGGTTTAGCATGTACTTCACCCTGTTGAGACCTGACCCGGCTCTGATGAAGTTCCAAGCTGAACCTCACCCACAGCCCTGGTCTTGACCACAGATTGACTCTGACGCTGATCAAAGCCTGGTTACACTCCTGTAGGCACAACCTCCAATGCCATAAGGAAAGCCTTTCTTCCTACCCTGGGGTCTCTGCTTCTACTGGCTTGACAGGACTCCAGAGTAAAGAGTCTCCTTGTCCCATGTCAGGGAGGCTTCACCTCCAGCTCATGGAGCTGAGGGCTTGGTCACATTCTCCAGGTGGCCCATCCAGTACCACCCATCACCAGGCCCACAACATGGATTTTTCCAAGAATCTAGATATGCATTGCCTGGGGCTCTGGGCCACAAGATTGCTCACCTTCACCTTGCACTGCCTATCACACGCCCCCTCCGTGGCCCACCTACAGTCAATACCAGAACTCTCTTCCTTGCAAGGGGCAGTCCCCACACAGCCCAACCCCAGACGTGCTGGGGCTGGTTCCGTGGCATCCCCTTTTCCACTTCCCCTCTCTCAATGGGGAAAAAGGGAAAGGGACAGTGGGGACCGTGGCACACCTGTGGTTTGCTTCTGTGATGGCTCCTTGGCCCAGGAATAATCACACAGTTTCCCACAGTGACATCATTCCACTCCCTCCAGTAGACAAACAATTCTAGCCCTACCATTCTACAGATGAGGAACCTGAGGCTCAGAGACCCAAGACTTGCCTGAGATCAGACAGCAGCCAGTCAGTGACACAACCAGCATGAAAATCTGGTCCTCTAAGGCCCAGGGGACACATATAATTTTCTACTTATTCCCCCTTTCCTCACCCTTGGGGTTGGAAGCTCCCAGGAGGCTGAGTGATCACAGGGAAAGCTCAGATCAAAATGAGAAAGCTTGGCATGTGCCCCTCATTCTCTGTGAGACCTGACCCTGACTTTAAGCCTTTGTCTGCAAAATGGGATGATTTAGCCCTGCACTGCCTTCCTCTCCCAGTTGCTATGGGAAACCAGGAGTTAGAGGCACAAGCAGATTCTGTAACACAGAGCCCAGTTCCTCAGGCCCCAGTCTCTCACCTTGGGGAGTAACGGAGGGGAGGACCGGCCAGGGTAGGCACTGAGAGGGCAAGAAACCAAAGACACAGAAGACAGGGGCGCAAATGCAGAAGGGTGGACTCCCTCAGCTTCTAACTCAGATGGTTCCCTTAGCCCTGCCGAGGAAGACAGTCTTGTGCTTTGCTCTGATCCAGATACCTAGTGCCAGATGAGCCCTGACAATAAACCCTAGCTCCAACACCACCATTACCACCACCATACCCACCCCATTCCTGGCCCTGATGGCATTTTTGTCACTGCAACTGTCAGGGCCTGGCCCGCTTATGCATATTCATGAGGGGAAGGCTATTTAGATGCTGGAGGGGGTAGGGAAACCAAAAGAAAAGAAGTATTTCCCATTCAAGTGAGGGAATGGACGTGGCCCTCATAGCCAACAGAGCCTTGCAAGGCCATTGGGAGCCTCATTGGCAGAGCCTGTGAGGTGAAGCCTAGCATCCTCATTTTACAGGTGCAGAGCTGTGCCACCAGCCCACAGCCATGCAGAACCTCAGGGGAAGAGCTGGGCCAAGAATCCAGATACTGCCAATTAAAGGCACTTCCAATAACACTATCTCCAGCAGTTAATTTCATGAAAATACCTTCGTTTGTACCTAGATGTTTGGTGGCTCTAATTGGAGTGTTCTTTCCATCTAAGTAGAAGGTTAAAGTTAAGGATGCATCTGATATTTTCTAAATGAAGACACACATTTTGCCATAAAAACAGAAGATAAAGTGACCTAGGCTTGACATATACAACCGAATCCCAAATCCCAATGCCACAGTGACTGCTCTAATCCCAACCTTGCGTCCTGTCAGGGATGAAGACTTCAAAAGACAGTCTCATTTTATCTCTAGAACTTAGCATTTCATAGCCAGGAACCCTAGGAAATCTGGGCTATTCCAACAGGTCAATGAATCCTCCTTGGTCCACTATGCTCTTCTTACCCGTGGCTTTCCAGCCAGACTACCTGTCACCCAGCCATCTTCATCCTCTGCAATAAGGAGCTCACTCAAGGTCCAGGCATGGTTCCATTTTGAGGATCCATCCTGCACTTGAGATTCTGAGTTCTGCATCTCTGGCCTTCTCTGGGACTGGGACAGGGGTACCCAGGGCCAACCCTGAGCCTGGCCAGGAAAGCATGTCCAGAGGATACCCACTGCCTTCCACAATATGGACTGCTGGGTCTAGTCCACCCTCTCTCTCCTTGCTGGGGCTGTGAACCCACAACACTGAGCCATTGCCTCCCTGGCTCACTCTGGCCACCCAAAGATGCCAAGCTTGAGTGCAGTGGCTCACGCCTGTAATCCCAGCACTCTGGGAGCTGAGGCAGGCAGATCACCTGAGGTCAGGAGTTCAAGACCAGCCTGGCCAGCATGGTGAAACCCCATATCTACTAAAAATACAAAAAAAATTAGCCAGGCCTGGTGATGTGCACCTGTAATCCCAGCTACTCAGGAGGCTGAGGCAGAAGAATTGCTTGAACCCAGGAGGTGGAGATTGCAGTCAGCTGCGATTGGGCCACTGCACTCCAGCCTGGTGACCAGAGTGAAACTCCATCTCAAAAAAAAAAAAAAGTTCATCAAGCTGATTCCTCCCATAAATCCTTTGTGCTGGCTGTTCCCACTGTCCAGAACACTCTATACCCCAGACGCACAGGTGGCTCGTTTCTCATGACTCAGCTCTCAGCTCAGGGCCACACCCCTGGGCCCCTCCTGCAGCCACCCAGTCACTTTATCACATCCTTTATGTTATATGGTGGGGAGAGTCTCCATTTTTTAAACAGCATTACTGCGGTACAATTGACATTCCATCAACTACACCCCTTTAAAGCACGCGGTTGGGTAAGTTTTGACATATATACACACCTGTAAACCATCACCCCAACCAAGCTAGTCAACAAGGACCCATCCCCTCTAGAAGTTTTCTCCTGCCCCTGATGATCCCTCCTCCCCCAACTCCCCATCCCCAGGTGACCGCTGATCTGCTCCTGGCACTACAGATTCGTTTTCACTTTCTAGACTTGTGTATAAATGGAATCATACAGGATGTACTCTGCTTCAGTCTGACTTCTTTCACGTGGCATGACTATTTTGAGATTTATCCATATTGTTGCATATATCATCAGTCCGTTCCTTCTTAACTGTACCATGATTTGTTCACTCACTCACTGATGCCCATTTGGGTTGTTTTCAGTGGTGAGGCTGTAATCCATCAAGCTGCTGGGAACATTCATGAACAAGTCCTCAGGTGGATAAATGCTTTCTCTTTCTTGGAGAAATGCCCAGGAGCAGAAGGGTTGGGTCATATGGTAGTTAAGTATGATGAGTTTCTCAAGCAGCTGCAGTAGATTTTCCAAAA